TCATCCTGGGTGAGTGACAATGGGGATGTGGTGCCTGGGGGGTTGGTGGCCCTGTGTGGGACCAGGACCGTGTCCCTTGCAGGTTGGTGGCTGGTGGCAGCAAGCAGTGCACAGGAATGTGAGTATGTGGGCAGGGGGAGACTGGAGAGAGAGGGAGGGGAGTGTGGTCAGAGGACCATGAGAGGGGCAGAGGAAGGTGTGCAGGGACAAGGCTGACTGCTGTCCCCTGTCCTAGTGCCCCGACCCTCCCTGTCGCTGCACCCCAGCCAGGGGGTGTCCCTGGGGGACAATGTCACCCTGCGCTGCCACCTGCCTCGGGTGCAAGCCTGGGTCCAGCTCTGGTTGAATGGAATTCTGAAATCTAACAAGGAAAAAGACAAGGAGCAGGATACAGCTGAGTTCTCCTTTGCTGTCACAAACTTGGAAGACACCGGGACGTATCAGTGTCGGTACCAGGTGTCAGAGCCACTGTGGACATCAGAGAGGAGTGATCCTGTGAAGCTGGTGCTGACAGGTGAGGGTACTGGGCACAGTGGGTGGCCCTGAGCTTTCCCCAGAGGATCAAGTCCCATCTCTTTTCCTCCCTGCACACAGCTCATAACATCAGCCCCTCACAGCCCTGAGCCCTTGTCACATGTAAGAATGAGGACCAATTTATCCACCCAGAGCTGGCATGAGGATTCTGGTGCTGCATGCCTCCTGCACAGTGCTGAGCACTCAGCCCCTGTCCAGCTCCAGGATCCCACTGGTGGGGCACAGCCACCTTCATCTACTTAGGGAGGATCCCAGCCTATGCTGGCACCTATAGGTGCTCTACCACCCCACGGACCACATCAGAGAATTAGTCTGAGACCCACATCTGTATGCCCCCAGTGTGCCCTGTGAGTGGCAGTGTCGCTGCATCCCTGCCCTGTGCTGAGGACACCCAAACACCCCAATCTCACAGGTGCTGAGGTGTCATCCCGTGGGAACCTGATGGTGGCGGTGGTGAGGGACTGCACTGCTGCCCTCATCTTCAGCCTGAGCCTCTACTTCATCCTGGATGCCTGCAGCCTCTGGACATGGAGAGATGAGAGTCCTGGTGAGGAAGGAGTTCAAAGTTTTCCACCTCCTATAGACCCCACAAGCATCCCCTACCCGTCCTTTGATCCCCCATAGATCCCGTACAGACCCCACAACTGGACCTTGAGGCCCCCACATAACCCCCTACCTTCCCCCTCCCCTTTTCGAGGCAGGTTTCACCCCCAGAATGACCGATCCCGTACACTTCCAGGTAAGTGCCTGAGTCAGTGGACCGCAAATCCCAACATCCCTCTTGGGGCCTGCACCAGACATCACCATGGAAACCCAAACCTTCCCCATGGGGACACCAAATGACCCCCAGCCTCATATGGCTTACCCTGACATTTATGTACACCACCTGTATCCAGGCCCATGCGAATCTCAAATCTGCATTGAGGGGACCCCCAGTCTGCAAATCTATTCCCCTCAAATCTGAGCCCTCAGACCCACAGAAGCTCTCCAAGCCTTAATCATACCCCAGACCCCATAATTCCCCACATGTCTACCAGAGGGACCTCTAATGAGCTCACAGAGAAGCCCATTGTCTAAGCCATGGGGACCCCAACACAAAGGCCCTGTGTTCCTCAGTACCAAATGCATCCAGATGCTATGGGCACCCTGAAAACACATCTGGACCCCAAATATCCCCCGTGCAGGACCCAAATTTGAGCCTCTCCCCCAGAAATACAGACCCACCCTCACGGACACCCCTTCCCTCCTTCCTCACATACCTACTCCACAGCCCCACCCCAAACTAAAGCATCCTGGGGACCCCCATGATTGCAACCCAATTTCTGCCTCTATCTCCAGGTGCCCCCCAGGGACAGCGAGGGTCTGACCTACACCGAGATGCCAGCTGTCATCCTGTGCTCCCAGCCTCCCCGTTCCCCCACTGCCCCCCAGTCCCCCATTATTTACACCAAAGTGAGCACAGGGGATCACACTGATGGACCTCCATTGGTGTCTCAGTTTTGATGCACATGCAAGGGGGCAGGTGCCACATTCCCTGCTTGGG